TGCTATTCAAATCAGAGACACAAACCCCGACACCACCACAAGAATATCTTGGGCTATTGTTGCTAAGTAAATTATTTCTCAACTCTATTTTTTGAAATTATGATGAAAGGCAGAGGTTGATGGAAGGATGGGTAGATTGTATCCTTTTAAAAATTATCAGCTGGTAGCTTCAGATCTTCAGGTCTGCGTATATAGCCTGGAATAACTGCAGAAACCAGGCACGTAAAAAGGGGGTGATTGAGGGGTGCGGTGGGAAAGGAACAACAGGGGAATTCCAGGGTACTCGTGACATGAAGGAGGAAATAGGAAAAATGGAGGTTTCTAATCAGAGACGGGATACAGAAGAAAGACGGAGGAGGGTACAATAACAGGAAGGACGCCTGAAGAAGCCATAAGGCCTACTCCTGCTACTGACTTATACAAATAAGTCAGCGTGTAAAGAGTTTCAGTGAAATCTCCCATCTGGGCTGACAATTCTCCCCTCCAAAGCCATAGACTAACAAAAGAAAAGAAAATCAGGCATAAGACGTTGAGTTTTGAGTTGCCATGGTTGTCCCAGAGGCTGCCAAAACATTCTAGGCAGTTAATCTTAGCTACCCACCCCCAAGATAGTAAGTCCCTGGAGAAATCACACACTTCAGACACCAGAGGCCCAAGGCTGGAACCAACCTCAAAGCCACCTCAAGGATGAGCTTTCAGGGTACCGGAAAGCACCATGCAAGCTTCCAAAGGAGAAGAAAAACCAACAGTCCTACCTACCTATGACACCTGTGAACCACAACACGACCAGTATGGCAGATGAACCAAGAGTGCAGTAGTAGCACAAATGTTGGTGGTGACCAAATGCTCTAATCAGACTTGATACAAAAGGGAATCACGCCTGAAACTAGAAACCAAGTCCCCAGTGCTTGTAAAGTCATGCATCTTAGAGGAGAACCCACAATTATCACTTTACTAAACCAGCATAATTCCTAACTACATTCTACATCTTTTTAAAAATGTATATGGGTGTTCTATCTGCACATATGCCTGCATGCCAGAAGAGGGCATCAGATCTCACTATAGATGGCTGTGAGCCACCATGTGGTTGCTGGGAATTTGAACTCAGGACCTTTGAAAGAGCAGACAGTGCTCTTAACTGTTGAGTCATCTTTCCAGCCCTCTAATTACATTCTAAACAGTTGTCCTTATATCCACAGATAAGTGTAGTTCTTATTTCTAATCAAGGATATGAGTTTTGGTTTTTCTTGCAACAGATGGAGACCATTACAGAAAACCACAACTGATCAAAATGTAGAGTTGTGGAGCCCAGGCCCAGCTGATACACAGAAATCCTACACCTGAGCCTCAGGAAAGAGCAGGTGGAAAGATCACCAAGACCCAGAAGACTGGGGAGTTTGCTGTAAGATTGTGTCCCCTAGAAAGGTTAGAATTTAATCTATGAAGCCTCACCAACACGAATGTCTAAACACAACCCAATCAAGGACACCACCAATTGATGGGAGAAGGAAAGCTCAGAAGGCCTCAACCCTAGTGAAGGAAATTACAGGTAACTAAGGATTGCTGAAAATGGGACAGAATCTTCTCAGGAGAAGAGCACATTAACTGGTTGTCCAATACCAAGTGGTCAGCCCTAAAAGCACACAGACAAGTAACTATGCAGACTGAGCAGGTTGTTTTTATATAGTTAGGAACAGAAACACACACACGTAAGAACAAAAGGGTCATGAATTTGAAAGAGAGCAATGGGGGAATACATGGGTGAATTTGGAGGGAAATGGGAAATGATTTAATAATATTAGAATCATAAAAGATGTTTTTAAAAGAGTGGCATTTCCAAGAGGGAGGCCTGTGGTAAGGATATATAGGGAAACAAGAGGGTGATATGGGTAAACTTTTTTTTTTGTTTTTGAGACAGGGTCTCTCTTTATAGTCTTGGCTGTCCTGGAACTCACTATGTAGATCAGGCTGGCCTTGAAATTCACAGAGATCTTCCTGCTTCTGCCTCTTGAGTGCTGGGCTTAAAGGTGTGTGCCACAAACCCACCATGATAGATAAACTATATGTTTCTGGCTTTTCTTTTTGCTTTTGTTTTTCTAATGTTCCTAGCATAAGCAAATAAAATCATCACAGGCAGATATGGTGGGTGTCCTTATTGGGAGAGTGAGATGAACAGGAACCAAAGGTGTGAATCACACGCCACCCAAGTAGTGAACTACATGTGAAGGTTGCAGAAGATTTAAAAAGGGGGTGGGGGTGGGGGTGGGGGGTGGACCGGAGACAAGGATTTGAACCTGGGAAGAGTAAGGCAGGCACTCGAGAAGTCAGCACGGAAACTGGCAGAGTGAGTCGGATTTCTAGCAAACTACAGCGTTTTGTAGAAGCATATGGTAAAGTGTGCAAAATGCTAAGCATTCTATAGACATACAAACACGTGGACAGACACATTAAATGAAAAGTTGTCAATTGGAACAGCTAGCAAAGAGCACTCCATAGTGAGAGGTCGGAAGAGGCCAAACCTATTTTTTTTATTATTGAATTTATTACTTTGTGTGTGGGCATTTTGTGTGCAGGTGCGGCTGTATACCAGGCTGTATATGCTTGCGGTGCCCTAGAAGCCAGAAGAGGGCACTGGGTCCTCTGGAGCTAGAGTTATGGACAGTTGTGAGCCACCATCTGGTTGCTGGGAATCAAACCTGGGTCTTCTGCAAGAACAAGTGCTCTTAATGGCTGCACCATCTCTCCAGCCTCTCCAAACCTATTTTAATGTTCTCAAAAAGAAAATAAAAAAGAGAAGATTTGTTTATTTTTATTTTACGTGTGTTTATCTGTCTGTCTGCATGTGTACCACACACTTACCCAGCACCTTTGGAGGCCAGAAAAAAGGTATTCGGTCACCTGGAACCAGTTACCACAGTGGGCTGCCATGTGGGTGCTGGGCTCTGACCCTGGGGCCTCTGCCAGAACAGGAAGTGCTCTTACCTGCTGAGCCATTCTCCAACCCCACCTTTTTATTTTTGTTGGCATTTATTCTGTGTATGGAAGTGTACCCATCTCGGGCAGCTTCCAACCACCTCTATCTCCAGCTCCGAGGAATCTGGTGCCCTCTTCTGATCTCCCTGGATGCCTTCACACACATATGCACACACAGAAGCATTCACACACACACTTATGACACGCCCTGCCTTCTCCACCTCCCCTCTAATCTCTATCCCCCGCCCCCCATATCCTTTCGGGAAAGAACGCACACACTCACTTCAGCACAGCACAGGGGCAAGCATGAGGCAGTGCATTGTGTGTGTGTGTGGGGGGTCTCAACGCAGTGAAGTTGGAGAGAGATTTTGAGCAATTATAGACTAGGCTGACACACCTAGAGGAGAAAGGATGCTGTAGCAGAGAACATGGACTGGGAGAGAAGGACCCACAGGGAAAGACCTGACTCCCCTTCCTCCACCTGTGGTTGGTCTCACCCCTTCATGCCCCTCAGAAGCCCAGAGGGCCCAGGAAGCTTTCCGGGCAGTAATTTGCAGAGAAGGGGGAGCTGCGGAGGGAGACGGCTAGTTCTGGGGAGCTACCCTTCTGCAGTCTTTGTTTCAGTGAGGAAGATGCACCCCCCAAACTTCCCACTGTCTCCTTCAGTCCCTTTTTACATTCTTTCGATGTACTTTGAGGTTCAGTCTCTCTATGTTGTCCTTCTGCCTCAGCTTCCAGGCAAGCTGGACTAATAGGCATGCAACAAGCATGTACCACTACTCAGGCCTTTCTGATGATGATGATGATGGTGATGATGATGATGATGATGATGATGATGGTGGTGATGATGATGATGATGGTGGTGATGATGATGATGGTGGTGGTGGTGATGATGATGATGATGGTGGTGGTGATGATGATGATGATGGTGATAATGGTGATGATGATGATGATGGTGGTGATGATGATGATGATGATTTTGAGGCAGGGTTTCTCTGTGTAGCCCTGGCTGTCCTGGATTCACTTTGTAGACCAGGCTGGCCTGGAACTCACAGAGATCCACGAGTGCTGGGATCACAGGCATGCGCCACCTTATCGGCTGTGGAATTCTTTTTAAATGGCCATGCAGGGCCTTGATGGAGTGTTTGCATGGTGTACTGGGGGACATCCTGGACAGGGACCACCACCTGGAGAGGCCCCGGCCCATGTCGCGACGTTCTCTGGGATGCAGCCTAGGGCTTCTCACATGCTAGGTAAGTGCTCTGTCACTGAGCCGCAGTCCCTACCCTAAGTGACACTTGTGTGGAGTTCACAGGGCAGGGTGTTCCCAAGGGCCTTTCCAGATCATTAGCTGGTACTTCCCCTGATTAATTCTGAAGAGACCTCCTGCGGAATAAATGCCATAACCTTCACAGGAGCAGCCCCTGGCCAGCACTGCACAGGAGGATCAACTCGTCCTCACAGTACAAGCTAAAGAAAGCAGCGGAGCCTGAGTTGAGGATTCTAAGGGAGTGAAGCCTGCTGTCGTCCTCTGAAACTGGACCCAGGTCGGAAGTAAAAGCAACGAACTCGGATAAGATTAGGTAACTTCCTCCTCGACAATCTGGAGTCCGAGATGGAATCAGCTAGGGCCACCTACACTTCCGTGGCACCCATAACCTTGGGCCTCTGTAATCACCGGGGCAGCTGGACTGTGAGCCAGGAGAGCACGTCCTGCCCGCGGCCTACGCGCAATTGTGAAACTCGAAACCCGAAACTCTGCCCCGCCCCGCGGCGAGGAGGGGGAGGGTGGGGAGGCGGTTCTTAAAGGCAAAGGCGTGGTTTGGGGCGGGGTCACATAGGCTGCGCGTGCGCAGATACCAGCCAAAGGCTGCAAGCTGTGGGGGGGCGCTGAGAGGGCGTTTGCGCACGCGCGCTTTTGCTGTGGGCGGGACCTTGTGCCGGGGGCGGGGTCTCGGGAGGCGCGTGCGCAGGCGTGTGCTGGGCAGTGCGGGCGCGGTGCGGGGGGCGGGGCTCCGGGGCTCAGAGCTTGTCTGAGGCAAGCTAGTGTCGGACGGGAGTCGAGCTGTGGGAGGTCAGTGGCGGTCGTGGGGCCGGAGCCGGTCGCCGGCACCATGGAGGACGACGACAGCTATGGTGAGTGGGGCCGGTCCGCAGCCCCTTTCGCGCGCTTCCGCTGGCGCCCGGTGTCCCTGGGACGGGGCTCTGGGCGCGGGGCGCGGAGCTCTGGACGGCGGCAGTGCGAGGGCCCGGGGCTGACTTGCCAGGCGCTCACAGGCCTGAGGGTCGCCGGGGCTGAGGGTCACCTGGGCCTGAGGGTCGCCGGGAACTAAATGATGGTCATCCGGGCCTGAGGGTCGCCGGGAACTGAGTGTCACCTGGGCCTGAGGGTCGTCGAGGCTGAGGGTCACCAGGCCTGGCTGGTCGGGGGCAGGGGTCGCCGTGGCTGAGGGCACCCGGGGGGCCGGTGGTGTTAAGCCGGGTCCGAAGGTCTTCGGGACCGGGGTTACTCGGGCCTGAGGGTCGCTGGGGCTGAAGGTTTTCGAGTCTGAAGGTCCCCGGGAGGGCTGTCACCGAGGTTAGAGGGTCTTCGGGGCTGGGATAACCGGAGCGATGAGGGTCGCCAGGGTCATCAGGATACAGAGGAGGCCTGGGGCGGCGAGGGGTGCCAGGGCCGGCTGACTGTGGTCGGAGTCTCTGAGACAGTCGCCTGCTGCTTGTCACCCACTTGGCAGGCGCCGCGAGCAGCCGCCGGAGCCACACGCCCGGCCTGCGTTCCCTAGGAGTTTCCGGCTCTCCGGGGTGTTAGAAGTTACGTGCCCCATCCAGTTCTTTGTTCGGAGATGAACACGGGTGGCCTGACCAGGGCCTTTGAGCCGGGGGACGTCGGCCAGGTTCATGCTACTATCGCATTGTGAATTAGCTCAGGTCCCCACTGCTGTCAGTCAGGACCTGAGCACACTTGGCAAGGAGTTTGAGCTGTTTGCCTGAAGGTAGAGGGAGGGTAATGACACCAGTCCACAGCCTCCATCATGACAGAAGCGATTCAGATTCTCCGGCTAACCTTGGTGTTCGTAGTTAGCCTGGGCTCTGGTCCCTCAGATGGTCTGCAATCTCAGGAGTTGTAGAAGGTTATTTGGAATGCTTTACGTGGTTGTTAGTATTGTTTCCAAGGAGAATGGAAGAAAGAGTGGCAGGCAGAGCAAGTGACGAACTTTTCTGGTTTGTCAGGGAAGTACAGATCAGGAACTTAGCATGCGTATGGGGTTTAATAGAACCAAATTCTGGTTTATTGCCTCACAGGCAGCATTGCCGCCTTACACTCTGCCAAGGGATATTAAAATGCCCAAAGGGAAGCATGTTAGGTCTTTGCAGGTAAGCCCTTAGAGAGCTCTGACCTGGTGAAGTCAGGAGGCTTGACCGTGGGCTTGGGATGTGTAGATGCTGTGTTTCCCCGAATGTTAGAGGTGTGTGCCTGTTCAGTGGAAGAAAGGCCAGCCAGCCTTTGCTGCCTTCCAGGTAAGAGCAATGTGTGCCTTCCTTTGTGCTTGAAAAGCTATCACCTGCGGGCAGCCCCCAAGAGATTGTTCAGCCTCTTTGGACCCTCTGGGTTTTCTTCTGCTGGAAACCTTCGCTGGCCTTACCCACTGGTCTTTTCTCTCCCTCTTGTCATTTGTTGCCCCTGAGTCCAGGGGTTCTGCCATGCTTTGTTCTTGCCCTCCCCTGGTGTTACTGCCTGCTGGATGAGGCAAGAGGCTGCTGTTCTGCTTGGTTTTAATAGTGACTGCTTTGACTCAGGCATGATTTGTACTTGGAAGGGAAAATGGAAGCCGAGTGTTTTTTAGTTCCTGTTACTGCTGGGAATGGAGGACTCAAACACAAATTTACTGTATAGTTCTGGAGATCAGAAGTCCAAATTAGGTCACACTGGGCTGACACCAAGATTTTGTTTGGGCGTAATTCCTTGCAGAGGCAGGAGGGAAAAGTCAGCTTCTTTGCCTTTCCTAGCTCTAGAGGATGCTTGTTTCCCTGGGTCTTGAAAGCCGGTGAGTGGATAGCATTTCTCCACTTTGTCTGCTGGCTGTCCTTTCATGATGAGTGTCATCACCAGGATAACCCAGGATAAGTATTGTAGACATCCACAACTTCAGTCTGCCTTTTGTCATGTGAGGACATACTTTCAAAGGTTTGAGGATTAGGGAGTTCACATCTTTAAGATGTTTAAAATTATATTTATTTATTTTTTGTGTGTGGAGGTCAGAGGGCATCTTACAGGAGTTGGTTCTCTGCTTCCACTCTGCCTGTCCTGGGAGAGGCAAACTCTCTCACTCTCCCAAATGTGGGCATATTTGCAAGCCATTATTAGGAGAACTGCACAGGGTGATGAAAAGGAAATTTATTGTCCACTTTATAAGCTTTTACATCTTTTTATTTGGGAGGAGTTAGAGGGATTAAATACAATAAAATTCGTTGAGTATCATATAGTATAAAATGATCATGTGAAGGCTGAGACTAGCTCGCTCTCTTTCTACTCTCCCCTTCCTTCCTCTCTCTTTCTTTCTCTTCTTCTCTCCTTGCTTCCTCTCCTTGGCTTTCTTCCTCTCTCCTTCTATCCCCTCCTCGTGTCTTGTCTTCTCTCTTTGCCCCCTTCTCTTATTCTCCTCTGTACTTCTTGAATTGAGGGATCATTTCTCTGTGATGCCTGGGCTAGCCTCAAACTCCTAGGTTTATGTGATCCTCCTGCCTCAGTCTTGTGAATAGCTGGCACAATAGGTGTGTTGCCTCTGTGTCCCTCTGTGTCTGGCCAAGCCTGCCAGTTTGGTTTGGAGTACAGAACTACCAGTTCCCCTTGGAGGATTTACTTGGACCAGTTTCCACATGTTAGGAGGAAACACTTGCTGAGGATTCATGAAGCATACAGGCATGCTCAGAACCTCTGTTGTTTTCTTCCAGACGAACTTCTTAAGCCATAATATTTGGTTTTTAAACTAATAAGAGACTTTTCATGTGATTTTGACAGTTTTACACACAAATGTTTTAGCCACATTTGCCCTGCATTTGCTCCTGTCTGCCTTTGTGTTGGCCTTGGGCCTTTATCACTGTTCTGTGGGGAAATGCATTTGGATTACAGAGCTATCTGTTCGGTATTAAAAATAAAACCTTTGGCGCCCAACTCAGTTATAGTATGCTGAAGACGGAGCGTGTGTCTTAGAGGGTTGCTGTTCAATTATAGGGACTTTCAGAAGCAAACAGTGAGGCCTTTCTTGACTGCAGGCCTTTAGTATTTCCTAGGCAGAGATCACTGGACAACTACACCTGTGTGGGCTGTGCCTTTCCTGGTTCTAAAAAGAACTCTGGGATGGCACCTTGGAGTTCTGCCAGACTGTACTGTTGGTTTCTGGCACAACTGTTTGTGTTCAGGTGTAAAGTTAGGATTTGTATGCACCTTGTTTAGGACACAGGCACTGGGCCTGACTGGAATCAGATAGGGTTCTGTGTAATACTGCACAGGGTTGTGAACACGGCCATGTGAGGCCTCCCCAGAGTGGAGGCCTTTTTCACCCTGCTGCACAGTAATGGTCATTAAATCGGGGCTAATTCCTGGATTCTGTTAACTTTTTTAAAAAAAGTTTTTGAAGCAAGGTCTCATGTAGGCCATGCTTGCCACAGAGTCACTATGTCTCTTAGATGTCCGCCTCCTAAGTACGGGACTCCGCGTGTGCACATGCCCAGCTCAAACGCTATTTTAAGGATCACGTCCATGTACATTTAATTCTGTTTTTATTTTATGAGTGTTTTGCCTTCATGTATATATGCGTACTATGTGTGTGCCTGGTCAAAGGAAGGGTCAGATCCCCTGGAACTGGAGTTACAGAGGGTTGTGAGCCACCGTGTGTGTGTGTGTGTGTGTGTGCTAAGAATCCAAAAAGAGCAGCCAGTGCTTTTAAGGGCTATGCCAACTCTCTAGCTGCCTCCTGCACCCCCACATATGTTTTGTTTGTGTAGCCCTGGCTAGCCTACAACTTGTTAGGTAGACCAGGCTGGCTTTGAATTTACAGAAATCTTTGCTTTTCCAGCACTTAGATTAAAGGTGTGCACCACAGTGCCTGTCTTCACCATATAGAAGTTTAAAAGGAGAGCCCTTGGAATCTCTCCTTTACCATAGTAAACACGTTAGACACCTTGTTTCTGCTGTCAGCAGGCAATTGATCTTTATGTTTAGGAGAGCTTTTAAGTGAACTGGAAGCTTATCTCTTCCAGAGGTCTGCCAGGAATCCTGCACGCATCCTGCTCCTGAAGTGCTGTCATGTAATCTTCATATTGAGCTCCTGGATCCAATGCAAGCAAAGTAGAACCAATTTTTAGTTAGATTATCAGTATATAAGAAGAGTTGAGAAAAGCTGGGTTTCAGTTTCTTGGCAGAGCGTGAGAAGTGAGGTAGAACACACAAGAGAACAGTTGATTTGCATAGCATGTGGGGATTGCTGAAGCGCAGCTGCATGTGTGCTGTCTCTGGTTTTGGCTCATGAGTGATGTGTGCAGAGGATACTCAGCGCCAGGATGATGAGATAAAAACAGTTATAGCACCGAAGGCTTTCAGGATCGCCTCTCATCTGTCCCTTTGTCCATCCTTGCCCCATTGCTATGATCACTGAAGACCTCCAGGATCTGCCCTGGTTTCTGTGACCTGGTTTCTTTAGGTGTGGTGCCTAAAGTACAGGGGTGCCCCAGGACAAGAGCGCTGTGGTCTGTGGACACAGAGCTGTCCTGAACTGTGGGAGCCTTGCCACGGGAGAAGCAGGGCAGGTGTGGAGGATGCAGATGGTGGTCTGTGGTGAAAGCAGGGCCTCTGGCCAATTGCAACAATTTTATTTTATTTTTAAAAAAGATTTATTCGTTTATTATTTATACAGTACTCTTCCTGCATGTATGCATACACACCAGAAGAGGGCGCTAGATCTTATTGTAGATGGTCACGGGAATTGAACTCAGGACCTTTGGAAGAGCAGACAGTGCTTTTAACCACTGAGCCATTTCTCGAGTACCTGTAACCTAATTTTATGAGCCCAGGGCCCTTGTAGATTCTTCAGGAAATGGACTGAAAAGAGAGTTGTCTCTGGTTTTTGGTGGAAAGG